TTCTTGTTAACCAATTAGGTCAGTTGAAGGAGATGGAGTCTCGGTTTGAGCAGCGCGAGGTGGAGAGAGAGCGCGAGAGGCAAACGAGGGAAAATCTTAAAGCCGAAAAGGAGAAAGAGCGTATAAAAAAATCCGACGAGATTGAAAAGAGTAGAGAAGCGAGGGAAAACACGAGAGAAAAGTTGAGAAGGCAATGGATTCAAGAATGGGAAGCTATGGAGAGAGAGAGCGAGGAGAGAGAGAGAAGGAGACGGGAGGAAGAATCGATGCGCGAGAGGGAATGGGAAGAGAAGTTGAATCGAAGGAGATCGGAGTGGAAGAAGAGGATGAACGAGATGCTGAGTCAGCACCGAGCGGAGATGGGGCAGGTTCAGGCTAGGATACTACACGAGCAGCAGAATCTGACGAGTCAGTTTATCGGGCTCGTTTCACAGTGGAGCGGTCACGCGGTGGGGATTTCTGACCACAGTGGAGCAACTAGCCATTATTTGTCACAGATGATGCAGAATTTGCACCATGTAAATGGCATGGTTGATGGTGATACGAGGGTCGATGGAGATAATCAAGAAGATCAGTTCATCGTTGATGGTTAAATGCTCGAGATTTTTTTACTGCACAGAATATATCTGCAGGTGATTTTTTTCGTAAGGAACTGATGCTTCAGATTATATATATGTGTACAATAGCTGTGTAGTTTTGTTATATGATTCTTTACTCTTTTTTATCCTTGGGGAAATTTCTTGGTACCCAACTTTGTATGATGTAGTGTAGTATACGAATAATCTCCGCCTCGGGTTTTTGTTTGCAACTTGTAACTAGAGTTGGATAACAGTTTCCGAGCATTGATTTGACAAAAAAAACACATGAAATTTCGTTCGTATTTTGAGTTTGAGTATACGTTCTCTTATTGTGCTCAAACAATACACAAGAGTCGATATACGAGTAAACGCATTTTTGGGTGATTAAAAACTGAACTGGTATCTATAAGTTATTTCTAGAGAGAGAAAATCACAATTAGGAATTTGCTCTCTCTCTCTCTCTCTATATTAGTGGCTTGATCAACTTGGAAGCATCTACGACTCTTTGGCTCCACTCGTGCTTTTCCAGCTCTAACGATTTTACTAGTTCGTCACACGCTCGAGAAAGTTCATCGTCCGTTATGGGAGAGTCCTTTTTTAGGGCGAAAATTACTTCATTAACGTCTTTCTCGAGTTTTAGTGACAAGAGGTTGCCGAATACCTTAAAAAAAATTTGGAAAAAATAGCTTAGATATGAAATTAAACTTGGGAATAATGTAAAATTAATATTTATGTCACTTTTCACTTCTCACCGATTTCAAACTCGAATATACTGCACCCTTCACAGCAGACGACCTCGAGACCAAATTGATGATGAATAAACCTTCCTCGGAGAGGGAATTTTTCGCAGCTAGAAGAAAAGATTCCGTTACGAAATCTGCTGCAGGACAGGTCAAACCAGAACTGCACAAGAATAATAGTACCAATGTCAAACATATGAAAACTCGATAGAAGCGGAATAAATATTAAGCAAATGGGATTAAAAGCTGCACTGCCTTGAGTCTGACGAGTCCACATCAACTATAAGTATGTCGAGTTTTCCTGCTTCAGCATCTGCTTTCCCCGTAACAAACTTAATTCCGTCAGTTATATGTACCTGAACAAGGAACAAGAAAAAGAAAGAAAATATTACGCAATCAACAGTTAAACATATCACATGCATTCTTATAGTTACATTATATAGCGTAAGGACACGTTACCTGTAAGCGATCATCTTCTCTAAACCCGAAATATTGTTTAGCAACATCCAAAACCACAGGATCTAACTCAACTACCTGCCAAGTCAAGAATTTGCGTAAGGACTCAAGATAGCAAAAATAAAAACGGCATTCAGCGGTTCAGAATTTCATTAACACCTCGATATTTAGAGTAGGTAGGCAATTCTTCATAAACATAGGTAGTAATCCTGCTCCAAGACCAATAACCGCTGTTTTGCCCTGGAAAAAGAGGGAAAAAGTCGACTTCAGTTCAACATGATCTTGAATATTTTTTCATAATATTATTATTATTTTTGTTCTTGTGATTTTCTTCGTCTGAAATTTACAATATGTATATTGCTTTCAAGAGAAAGTAGACGGCTCACCATTCCCACAGCTGAGTTAGAACCTTTCAAATGTAGAGAAATCAACATAAGTCCAGAAATAATCCCATTGTGGTATGAACTTGCCAAATAGTTGTGATCGACTTTCATTTCATTGTTTGACGCTGCACCATACAAGATGAGAAAGATAAATAAACTAGTTAACGAAGATGAATAAATTCAACTTTTACTACCTAGTAACATAACAGTAACTGTAAAAAAAGTGCGACTAAAAAAGTGATAATAAGGTAGTGAAGTACATCTATTTGGACCTCAAAGAAATTGCCCGAAAACTCATTTTAGAAATTAATTGTTTCCCAATTTTGAATTAAAAAAGCATTAAAAGTATTAGAATTTGAGTACAGTAATTCGATTTCTGATACACAATCAGATCTTTACCATGAGACGTGGACGAGTGAGAACCAATTTTTCCCTGTTTTCCTTTCTTCTTGGTTTTTGAAGCTGTTTGCACATCATTTTCTTCTGTTTCACGTGAAATTGCATTTGATCCTTCTTTCGATAAAAGAGCTTCCGATTGCACCAAACTTTGGGATCTTTGAAAAGTAAGGCGACGGAATATCAAATCCTTAGATGGATCGCATTTTAAATCATCATCATAATCATCAACCTGTTGATAGATCACATCATCTACAATAATTGGACCCGTCAATGCAGATGTAACCTGGATTAACCAAAAGAAAGAAACATTATCAAATGAAAAGGAGAGACGAGCATTTTCGACTAAATCGAATAAGTGCCGCAAATTTGGACTTCAGAAATAAATTCCATCATCTTCGATAAATGCTAAGTTGATGATGTCATAGAATAAGTTGATTATCAAACCTGGTTCACAATCGTTTGCTGCTTAATTCCATCACTTGCAGCCATAAACCTGCACAAGGCCCAATCGATATACTCGTTAATAAATTTTTAGTTACCAAACAAGCTTATTAATAATTCAGAAATCAGCATTTTGACAATTTTAAATATTCATATATGTTAAAAGAACTAATCAAATATAATTAATAACACGAACACTTACGGGATAGGAACTCCATCATCACAATCTTTAGGAGCCAACTGCATGACTAAAGGGGAGAGATCCGTCTAAAATTAAGGAAAACCCGAATTTTAAGAAGCCATCAAACTTAAAGCATGCAAGTCAAATACAACTGGTGGAGTATAAAGTTGAATATCACCTGGATATCTTGCATGGAAAAATTGGAATTGCTGGAATCCAGTAAAATCTAAATCGATCAAATAATTGTATTAATTGAAAATGAGATATAAAGAGACATGATAAATGAATAAAATAAACTAAGAGTATCCCATGCGGGAAAAATGTATACCATCACTAATCTAGCAGCCTTCGAGGTTGCGACTATGAGCCATTGTCCTTCTTCTGATGAGAAGAGCCAATCATCGACCCGCATCTGAAATTCAAATGTTAGTCGCATAGCTGTTGGATTTTAAAAGACAAGACAACAAAATATATAATAAATAAAAGAAAGACTGCAAATAACGGATGATAGTTGAAGCTGCTTTGATTGGCATTACCAAAAGAATTCCGTACAAAGGGAAAAACCAACACAATGTTATCCAGTTTAACATAAAATTAAATTAAATTACAGAACAAACATACTATATCCTAAGACAAACACAGAAAAACATAGATTCTTTATAACTCCAACTCTTGGATTGGTTTGTTAGCAAATAAATAATGAATCAATCAAATAAGCCTCGACAGGATCATTTTAAGAAAGTTGTACTTTTCAGAACTATCTTGTTCTATAGGCCCAAAGCTGGGACGCCGAGATTTGATGATACTCGAAATACACAAGTTATAATTCTGTCTATGTAAACTATCTTCATATTTTCCCGAACTTAACAACAAACACATTTCGAAATACAGGTAAAATGACAAAAACAGCTCTGAAACAGCCATCAATTGGGAAACTCAAGGATTGGAAAAAATAAAAACAAAGAAAGAAGAACTAACTTTTGGAACGATGAATGCAGCAAACTGATAGGAGATAGGTTCCTTATCGTCATCCGAATCTTGACCCAAATCTGGCTTAGCATCAAATAGTATAGCATTATAGAAACGGGATACCCCAGGTTCACCTAAAATAAGCTTTAACCTACGACCTGGTTCAAGCTCTTTAAGGTTTCCTTTCGCCCCTAAAGTCAGGTCTTCAAGTGAGTACAATATATCACCGCCATTGGAGTATTCCGAGCGAACCTTCCGTTCTCTTTCAAGTGCTTCGTAGAGTTCCCGAGCCTAAGAGATGTCAAAGAAGTTAATCGATTTATCCAGATATAACAGAAGTAAAACAAATATAATGTTTAGTTGAGCTAGCATAGACCATAAGACGCACTTATCATTAAGCATCTGATTAGCATTCAAGGAACATACGACGAGGAAAAATGTAGAGAGAAAAGGTGAAAGTGTTCTTACCTGATTACCATGAGATTCAACAGAATATTCATCCATGAACGATGATATCTCAGAAACGGAAGTTGAAATATCTTTCTCAACTACCACCATAAAGGTCTGTAGTTTTATGTTTCTTGAGGATGGTTCCTTAGCAATGGTATAAAGGCTCATTTTCCACCCAAATCTGAACTTGGAGAAAAGTAGACCTGAGAAAAAGTCATAATCGGAACTTGTAAGAAACGCATAAAAGCCTTTTAAAAGTCTTTTATATGTAACCATATATTTATCTTCGAATTTGATAATACGAGAAACAATACCTAACACATGGGATTCCGCGAGGGTGAGACAAATAAATTTTCCTCCAGCTTTTAAAAGCCTTTTTACCTGGTCATACACAAAAAGAACAGGATACTCAAGCTTCCGGAACGTTCACGAAAAAACAATATCGAATTCAGTTTCACTTTCAAATGAGACTTATCATACACCTCAGATAAATATTGATTCCCTAATCTCGAACCAAGCTCAGGCTCCATCAAAGCATCCAGTCCTCCCTTGTCGACAATGGCATCAAAAGACTCATCTGCAAACTGAATGAAAGTCAAAACCATTAGAAAAAAAGGAACCGGGTAAAGAAGAGAAAAATAAAATAAAAAATGAAAATTTGGACCGATAAAAGAAACACATCATCATCCATCAGTCATCAATGTTGCTAAATCGGAACCGAAAAACAAAATCTTCAATGTAACTTCATTATAACTCAATAAAATTGCTTTCAACAAATTACATTCCACTTGTAAACATATCTTCTATGACAGTAAAAAGTAAAACTTCAACAACCATCAATAATAAGATGGTTTCTCTATCACTTTCGATAACCGAAGAAATACAACGAGCCCACATCTATTTCGTATGGTGGCTGTGAACTTATTTTCATTCAAAAAATTTCTTAATTCGGCTACCTTAATACTCAGCGTGAGATCATTTACCATTAAATATTATTTAAACAAAAAAAAAAAAAGACAATTTCCTGGTGCAATTAGCATGGATTAGAAACTACCTGCATATTAGTCATGTCCATCACGCGCCACTTCATCCCAGGGCGTTCTCTCAAATTCCTCCGCAGCATATCGGAAATAACAACCTTTGAGAAATCAACGTTTGTTATATTAAGAAACCCGGCATCGTACAAATGCTCCGACAGCTTCGAGTTCCCGCAACCCGGCACCAAAATAGCCACCTCCTCCGACTGTACTCCGGCGGATTCCGGCGTCCGTAGTGATGGTGGCGATAAGAGCTGGGCCGTGAGTAAGGTTCGGAGCTGGGGCCACTCGGCGTACCATTCGAAGGAATCATCGGTGCCTCTGATGGTGAAAAATTGGTCCCAATTCTCTTTGCTCGTGAAGTCTCCGAGGGTTTTGAGCAGCTCTTCTTGATTTTTCCCTCCGGCGCCGCCGTTTTCTCTTGTGTGCTGCTGCTGTTGCTTCTTCTTTCTCCCCATTTTCGGCGGTTGTAAGGTATTCAGTCAGAGGGTTTTTGTGGTTTGCAAACTCCAAATTTTGCTTAAAGAACAAATTTTTACTACAATTTGGCAAAATAACTATTTTATTTTGGGGAAAATACAGATTTTGTCCTTCAAGTTTGAACTTATTTCACATTTGGTCCCCCATGTTTACAAAAAAATATATTTAATCCCTCATGTTTCAAAAATTCAATACTTTTAGTTTTTTCCGTTACTACTAACTCAATCAAGCGTGTGTACATCACTGCCTTAACTGATGGACTTACGGTAAATTGACGGAAATGACCAAAAGTGTTCAATTATTGAAACATGAAGGATAAATGTATTTTTTGTAAACATAGGGGACCAAGTGTGAAATCGATGCAAACTTGAGGGACAAAAACTATATTTTTCCCATTTTATTTTCTTTCATATTTTCGTTTGGATCTTTTTAGTAGGGTTTAAAAGTGTAAGTAGGGGTGGAAATTGAAACCGAATTCCTGATTTTCGATTCCGATTTCAAGTAGGCATTGTCCGTAAACGTGTTTGTGTGTGTTTGTTTTTCGTTGCATACTCGTTGATTGTTGCGTTTACTTGTCTTAATACCCCTTATCATAAACATAAATCCCCTCCAAGTTTATATAACATGAGCAAGTTATTGCTCACATAGGCCCATCGCCCATACATATAATCTCCATACACACACTAAGATGAGTATATTCACACAGCAGAACACATTAAAAAGGGTATAATATGTGCAAATTCATTATATCAATAGTATCTGGCTCAAAATCACTAAACTGTACAGTACATACAACTTGTAATCAACAAGTAAGTGTGTGCTAAAAATATCTCTATACATCAGCTGCATGCATTTGTATCTATCTTACCAAGAAGATTTGAATATCTGTTTCCATTTTTCATCACCAAGAAATTCAATTTTTTTTTTTTTTTAAATTGCTTTCTTCATCATGATTTTCTTAGTGGCGCGATCTTCTTCGAGACAACTAAGGTTTGTTTGATCCAATCCCCACTGTTATGCTCTAATGATCTTCGAAGTGCCTCACAAGCTTCAGCGAGTTCTTCCTCTCCAATGACTGGAGAATCCTTCTTCAGGGCGAAAATTAATTCAGAGAAACCTTCATCCACGGGCATGCTAAAGAGGTTGCTGCTAAATACCTGCGAAACAGAAAAAAAAAAAAAAAAAACAGGAAAAATAAATTTTCGAACCATATTATATATTATATTTCATGCTACTTTTTTTTGTCAGTTGTTTCTCACCGTTTGCAATTTTGAATGCGCTGCAGTCCTCACACCAGGATAGCCTGTGGCTAACTTAAGGATGAATAGACCTTTATCAGAAAGTGAATCTTTTGCTGCCAATAGAAAAGGTTCCTCAACTAATTCTGCCTCTGGACTAATTAAACCAGAACTGCACAATAAAAAGAGTACTTTTTGTCAAATTGACAAGAATTGATTTGAGTCGAAGCTGTTTTTTATTTATTTTTTTATTTTTTCCTCTTACCTTGAGTCTGACGAGTCCACGTCGATTATAAGTACGTCAATTTTGGAAGAGTTGATCCCTTCTTCATGAATTACAGTGCAACCATAAAATTATTTAATTTTGAGTGTGTTATCTCGCGATTTTATATCACTAGTTACTACAACTAGTTGTAGCGATTTTACCTGCTCTCTCTTTGACAAACTTCATTGCATCAGTAATATGTACCTGGACAGGAAAACAAACGTAGTTAAAGTGAGAACATGAGCATGAAGTATGCACTATAGTATCCCGTAGAGAATCGTTAACTAATCTTCTCTCTTGCTACAAGGGACAAAACAATAACGATAACATGACTCTGTGAAAGCAACTTCTTCGCATTATAATTCCAATTATCAGCATATAAAAGCAAAAATTATACCAAAGATTTTATGTTCTGAATCCCAGAAAAAAAAAAACCATTTTTTGCACACTTCGATTTCCTATTTTGTTGTTGAAAACGACAGAAAGTAGAATATTACCTTTAAGGAATCATCTTCTTCAAAGCTAAAATACTCTTTAGCAACATTCAGAACCACAGGATCTAACTCAACGACCTACCAAATTAAGAATTAGCATAAGGAAAAGACATTAGAAAAAAAATTGGAAATTACAGCCATCCAAAATTTCGATACCTCAATCTTTAGAGTAGGTACGTAATTTCTCAAAGACATAGGAAGTAGTCCTGCTCCAAGACCGATGATTACTGTTTTGACCTGAAACGGAGGGAGGCTTTCAAATCCAGGCATCATTTTTAAAACCGAACCCACGACCCAAATTCATAGAGGTAGTAAATTATTATAATTTATTCCACAAGTGACTTATATATGTTTGCCTCTGTTTTGGAGAATCATTAAATCAAAAAAATGAGATGAGGTAGTAATTTCAAGAGAAAGAAGATAGCTCACCAATCTACCAGCTGAGATAGTTCTTTTTGAATGTATGGAAAACAACAGTAATCCAGAAAGCAACCCCTTGTACAATCCAGAACTCAAATATTTGTGATCGACTTTCGTATCACCACTTGATGCTTCCCCATTCAAGATGAAAAAGACGATGCAATAGTTAATGAACATGAATAAATATTGCTACTTCTGTTTCTCAGCAGTAGATAACAATAATTTAATTTAGAAACAATTAAAATATTTCTCATCAGGATATATCGAAATCCAAGTCAGGACGGTATATGATTTCTCGAAACTTAACCATACAAAGAGAGAGATATTCACCTTGAGAATCAGATGGCTGTGATTCAAACATCCTCGGTTTTCCTTTCTTCAAGGTTCTGGAAGCTGCCGGTACTTTCTTATTCTCAACTTGTGTGGATAAAAGAGCTTCAGATCGCGCAAAAGCTTCATTTCTTCCAAAGCGAAGGCGGCGGAATATGGAATCCTTAGATTTACCAGGTGTAGGAATATCACCCGGTGGATCGAAATAGATCACATCATCTATAGCAATCGGACCAGTCAAGGTAGATGTAACCTGGATAAACCAATATAAGGAAAATCTAAGAGGAAAAAAAGAGATGGAAATGCATGAAGTAAGAGCAGTATACATGAAATATCCAATGATAAAGAAATGGGACTCGTACTAGAAAACAGTTTAATATAACACCTCTATTTTGAAAAGTGACGACATTTTCTCCTATAAGAAACCCACTAAATAAGCAGAGTGATACAGCCCTTCGATGAGTGCTAAGAGAGCAACTAATCATGTAGAAGTGGTCAGAATTATTAGTGGACCGGAGTATGAGCACATCAATATTCTAAATATATGAAAAAGACAACCAATAAGATGAAAGCAAGATATAGTAGTTATTCAACCTTATACAAATTTTTCTTCTGCTTATACCCTTCATCTGCATACGTAATTCTGCAAATCGATATATGTTTATGGGTAGTTAAGTAGGAGGACTAAGCGTAAACAACGAAAAAGTGCAAACAAGAATGGGTATGGAAATAAAATTTCATGCATAAACTAGCATTGGCTGATACGAAATGAAGAGCTAAAATCATTATCAGATGAGTTCTGGTATTGGATAAGTAGATGCTGATAGGATACTTACACAATCTTATCTTCTTCAATATTATCCCCTGGGGCCAATTGTTTGATAAAACGAAATATATCACTCTGAAAGAAAGGAAAAAAAATAAAAATAAAAATATAAGAGTCCATCAAATATACAGCTCGCAAGTTGCATTAGCTATAGGAAAAAAAATCAAGATTACCTCTATATCCTTCGCTAAAACATTATGGTTGGCATCCAGTACAACCTAAAACCAATCAGTATGATGCTCTATGAGTGAAAAATGAAAAATGAAAGATTATAGTACACTAAGATTATCATAGACTTGAAAAAATTACTATCAACAGCCGAGCAGCTTTGTGGCATACAGCAAGGGCCCATTGTCGGGGACTTGATGTGAGGAGCCCGTGGAAAGTTTGCATCTAAATTCCAAACTTCAGTCATACAACAGTTGGACTGAAACAAACAAAAATTAAGTAACAAATAATGCCAATAGCAAATGGAACTCTATGGTGAATGATCATCTCATATAGAAGTTTTCTCTTTTACAAATTTGCAAAAAAAATAGTTTTTAGTTACTATGCAGACTACTCTTTAGTAACATTTTTCATGTGGAGCTTATTCAGAAATGGATGGGGGTGATATTCTCGAAAAAAGCTTAAACTATTAGAGACTTGTATTATTTTATGTTTAATGACTTGTACATTTTTAGGACAAAAAAAAGATATCCTTCAATTTTTCAACAACGAAAGTTATTTCCTTGAAAATAAAAGGAAATACAAGGCAATAAATAACTTAAAATTAAGGAAAGGCAGTTTTGAAACCAGAAATGCAAGTTTAAGTTGGTTTATTTCGCATTACCAAACGCATATTAGCCTATTAGGTATAAAGACTAAGTACGGACTCAAAATGTTTTCCAGGTAGACAAGAAAAAAAAAAGTGATAGAGGTTGGCTCTTTAACGACTAAACACATAAAACTATCATTTTTTTAATGAGATCTATCCAGATGAGGAGAATGCTGATATTTGATTCAAACCAAACTGTTAAACAATTTAAGTATATCTATATTCAATTTTTTTTACGGAACAACAATATATTCTCAACTGTAAATAAAATAACTAGTGGAAAAAGAAGGAACTAACGCTGTGAACGAATAATACACCATATTGATCGGAGAAAGGTATTGGCAATGGACGACCATCAAGCAGTAAACCACTATAGAAGAAACGTGATACTCCAGTTTCACCTAAAAAAAGCTTTACAGCGCGACCAGGTTCAAGCACTCCAATGTTTCCTTGTACCCCTTGGTTCAGGTCATTAAGCGAGTGCCATGTATCAGTGCCATTAGAGTATTCTGCTCGGACAGTATTTTCTCTTTCAAGTGCTTCAAATAGTTCTTGAACCTATAACATGTTCAAAAAGTGAACTTATTTCTCCAGATTTGGTTGTAATGCAAATGTAATGAACTTAGTTCGTGTGAGCTAGCAAACAATACTGTTAACCCCTAAAAAAATCAAGTTCTTTCCTTTTTTTCAAACGATACGTACATGGATGAAAAGAAAAGGCTAAGTGTTTTCACCTGATTACCATGGGATTCTACAGAACATTCATCCATGAATGATATCTGAGAAACGACAGTTAAAATATATTTCTCTGCGACGAACATAAATGCCCGCTGTTTGGTGGTTCCTGAAGATGGTTCTTGAGCAACGGCATAAAGATTGACTTTCCATCCAAATCGAAACTTTCGAAAAAGTAGACCTGAGAACATGAGATGCTGAATAAAAATCTAACTCCTCCTATCTTTACATTCACCAAAATACTGAAAAAATGAACAAATAATTATTTTGACCAATTAGAGGAACAATACCTACCTAGTACATGAGATTGTGCCGCGGTGAGACAAATATATTTTCCTCCAGCTTTTAACAATCTTTTAGCCTGTTAATGAGTCGAACTATATTGGAACAATACCTAGTACAAAGCAAAAAATGCTGGTAACTATTGGATCAAAAGTGTATCACAAACCTCAGATAAGTATATTGTTCCTAATCTGGGGTCAATGTTAGGTTCCATTAGAGCATCCAGTCCTCCCTTATCGATGATGGCATCAACAGTCCCACTTGCAAACTTAATCAATAAAAATCATTAGAAAAAACGGAAAGAGATAGAGAACACAGTTCCAAAGAAATGAGTTCAAACACAGTAAGCCAAGCCAAAACATATATGGATTTAAAGACACTCAAAAGTTCAATAATGACCTTTCTACAAATAAAGTGCTAGTTAAATCATTAGAAAAAGGATAGAGAATTATATAGCAAAGTCCGATGAAATAAATAGAATTAAGAAATGAAAGTAGGGCAAATACAGTAAGCCGGCGCACATTAATAAAGTCCTCCAACTCAACTACCATAAAAATGCTCTCTCAGGCAAAAGGGCGAACACATTGCAGGGTATTGACTATTGAATCAGTTGGGCCGATTTTTATGGCTGGAAGAAATTATGCGAAATTATCAGAATTCGGTCTCTCTCTCTCTCTCTACAGTTTTCTTCTTCTCTCTCTCTCTTCAGTTTTTATCTCCTTCCCCAAATTCATTTTATATTTCTGTAGTTGGAATTATATTACAGATTACCCATTGAAATCCTCAGTTTCGAAAATTGAACAAACACGTCAAATTAATAGCCAAATAAAATAAAATCCTCGCAATTAATTTTACAATCCTAATTCTCAATTTACACAAAAATCTCGCGACCTGGAAAATTGTACCTGCATATCAGTGATGTCCATCACGCGCCACCTCATCCCCGGCCGTTCTCTCAAATTCCTCTTCAGCATGGCGGAAATGACCTCCCTCGAGAAATCCACATTTGTTATATTCCTGAATCCGTCGTCGTACAGATGCTCCGACAGCCTGGAATTCCCGCACGCCGGAACCAAAATACTCAGCTCCTCCGGCGGCGGAAGCGAGAGATGGTTCCTGAGTAAGATCCGGAGTTGGGGCCAGTCGGCGTACCACTCGGAGAAATTACCGGCGCCTCTTGCGGCGTAGAAAAAGTCCCAATTCTCCTGGTTGGTGAAGTTTCCGAAGGCAATCGGCAGCTCCTTTTCAGTGCGGACGCACTGCTCTCCTCGTTGCTCGCCGTTTTCCGCCATTTTCACGCGTTCTGCGTGTTCTCGAAGTGAAATTGTGCGGTTACTTTTTGAAATTATCCCGCCCAAAAAACTACGATCCTTTTCCCATTGCAGCCCATTTTTTCGGTTATATATAGAAATTTAAAGGGTAAATTACGAAACTCCCCTGAACTTTGACTAAATTACGAAACAAACCCACCCACACATAAATACCAAAAAACCCTGTGACTCATTGTTGACCCTTTTTTTTTAAACATAAATCATGTAAGGGCAAATTGCATATCACCCCCTCAAAATTTCTAATTTGTGCACTTTATCCCCTCAAAAATTTAAAAAGTGAATCTCCCCCTTCAAAATGTTATTCTTGTTGCACATTGCCCCCATATCAAAATTTCGATGGATTATTCATCTTAATTGAGTATTTTTGTTGCAAGTAGCCTCTAATTATGTTATTTTTTTTTTGTTGCAGGTTAACCCTTAAAAACATTATCTTAATGCACATTGCCTCTTTAAAATGTTATTGCACAATGCCCACCAAAAATTGGCTTATGGGGCAAAGTGCAACCAAAATAATATTTTAAAGGGGGAATATACAGTTTTTGAATTTTTAGGGGGAAAGTGCGAAAATGAGAAATTTGTAGGGGGTCAAGTGCATTTTATCCATCCTGTAAAGCCAAATATGTGAAAAAATATAATTTATTTTTCTTATTTCTGTAAAAATCGGTGTCCAAAACAATGTAAAATTTTGTCCTTCAAATTCTCGATCCCTAATAAAAAGAAGTTCGTAATTTCAATCAGCTTTATTATGGATTTTGTAGATGCTACACCCGGTATAATATACACAATATACCAATGTACACTATCATAGCTAACAAACCAATTACTGTAATCAACAAGTAGATGTGTGTATTATAATGGTAGTGGCTTGACCAACTTTGAGATATATAATCCACATTATTTGTTATATTCTTAAAGCCGTCGTCGTATAGATGCTCCGACAGCCTGGAGTTCCCAAAAATACTCGGCTCCTCCAGCAGAAACGAGAGATGGTTCCCGAGTAAGGTCCGGAGTTGGGGCCAGTCGGCGTACCACTCAAAGAAATCGTCAACGCCTTTTATGGTGAAGTCTCTCGAAAACAAAGTACCCGAGTGAGTACATGTCTCTCTATTCTGCAGAACAATCAAAGGACTAGTGGAGCCACGTCGCTCCAAGCTCTCGGAATAGGCACCTTGACCATGTCGATTGACCAAATTCACTTAAAACAAGTTTATATGTAAATTGTCGCGATTATTATAACTCGGCCAATGCTGCATTTTAGCGATGCGAAAACGGCAATCGAAGCTAACAAGATTTCATCGGCTAGAAGAAAGATTGCGGAGATAGTGTCAGTTTCTACTTCTTGTAGAACACTTGAATCGCCTCTGCACCTGCACTAAAAACTGTAATTGATTTGTCGGTAGATCTATTTGACATTGCTTACGTTGTTGTCAAGGAGGCTCAACAACCGCCTGAAGATACTATCGCCCATAGTCATACATATAACCTCCACATACACTAAGATGAGTATATTCACACAGCAGAACACATTAAAAATGGTATAATATGTGCATATTCATTATATCAATAGTAATGCCTCAGAGATCAGCAGATATATACAAGTAAGTGTGTGCTAAGAAGATCTCTATACATCAGCTGCATGCATTTGTATCTATCTTACCAAGAAGATTTGAATATCTGTTTCCATTATTCATCACCAAGAAATAAAAAAAAAAAAAAATGCTTTCTTCATCATGATTTTCTAAGTGGCTCGATCTTTTTCGAGTCATCTAAGGCTCGTTTGACCCACTCCCCCTTGTTATGCTCTAATGATCTTCGAAGTGCTTCACAAGCTTGAGCGAGTTCTTCCTCTCCAATGACTGGGGAGTCCTTCTTCAGAGCAAAAATTAATTCACTGAAACCTTTATCTACGTGCATGATAAAGAGGTTGCTGCTAAATACCTGCGAAACAGGGGAAAAAAATAGGAATAAGAAATTTTTTCGAACCATATAATATATTATATTTTCATGCTACTTTTTTTTGTCAGTTTTTTCTCACCGTTTGCAATTTTGAATACGCTGCAGCCCTCACACCAGGATAGCATGTGGCAAACATAAGGATGAATAAACCTTTATCAGAAAGTGAATCTTTTGCTGCCAATAGAAAAGGTTCCTCGACCAATTCTGCCTCTGGACAAATTAAACCAGAACTGCACAATAAAAATAGTACTTTGTCAAATAAGAAAAGTTGACAAGAACTGATTTGAGTGGAAGCTGTTTTTATTTTTATTTTTACCTTGAGTCTGATGAGTCCACTTCGATTATAAGTACGTCAATTTTGGAAGAGTTGTGCCCTTCTTCATGAATTACAGTGCAACCATACAGTTATTTAATTTTGAGCGTGTTTTCTTGCGATTCTATATCACTAGTTACTACAACTAGTTGTAGCGATTTTACCTGCTCTCTCTTTGACAAACTTCATTGCATCAGTAATATGTACCTGGACAGGAAAACAAATGTATGCACTGTAGTATCACGTAGAGAATCGTTAACTAATCTTCTCTCTTGTTACAAGGAACAAAACGATAACGATAACATGACTCTGTGAAAGCAACTTCTTCACATAACAACTCCAATTATCAGCACATAAATGCGAAATTATACTAAAGATTTTATGTTGTTGAAAACGACAGAAAGTAGAATAATACCTTTAAGCAATCATCTTCTTCAAAACCAAAATACTCTTTAGCAACATTCAGAACGACAGGATCTGACTCAACGACCTAACAAATTAAGAATTAGCATATAGACAGGACAGTAGAAAAAAAATGGTAATTACAGCCATCCAAAATTTCTGTACCTCAATCTTTAAAGTCGGTACGTAATTTCTCAAAGACATAGGAAGTAGTCCTGCTCCAAGACCGATGATTACTGTTTTAACCTGAAAAAGGAGGGAAGCTTTCAAATCCAGGCATCATTTTGAAAACCGAACCCAAGACCCAAATTCAATATATTCCACAAGTGACTTATATATGTTTGCCTCTGTTTTGGAGAATCATTTAAGAAAAAATGAGATGAGGCAGTAATTTAATTTGTATATCTGCTTTCAAGAGACAGAAGAAAAAGAAGAGAAAGAAGATAGCTCACCAATCTACCAGCTGAGGTAGTTCTTTTTGAATGTATGGAAAACAACAGTAATCCAGAAATCTTCCCCTTGTCGTGTCCACTTCTCAAATATTCGTGATCGACATTCGTATCACCACTCGATGCTTCCCCATCCAAGATGAAAAAGACGAGGCAATAGTTAATGAACATGAATAAATATTGCTACTTCTATTTATCAGTAGTAGATGAAAGTAATTTAATTTAGAAACAATTGAAATGTTTTCTTTTTCTCAGGTTTAAGTAAAACCATATCAGGATATATTGAAATCCAAGTCCAGTATATAATTTCTCAAATCTAGCCCAAAAAGAAAGAGATATTCACCTTGAGAATCAGATGGCTGCGATTCAACCATCCTCAGTTTTCCTTTCTTCAAGGTTTCAGAAGCTGCCGGCACTTTCTTATTCTGAACTTGTGTGGATAATAGAGCTTCAGATTGCGCAAAAGCTTCAGTTCTTCCAAAGCGAAGGCGGCGGAATATGATATCCTTAGATTTATCATGTGTATTAGGAATATCACCCGGTGGATTGAAATAGATCACGTCATCTATAGCAATAGGACCACTCAAGGTAGATGTAACCTGGATAAATCAATATAAGGAAAATCTAAGAGGAAAAAAAGAGATGGCAATACATGAAGTAAGAGCAGTATATATGAAATATCCAATGATAAAGATATGGGACCCCTACTAGAAAACAGTTTAACATAAAGCCTCTATTTTGAAAAGTGACGACATTTTCTCCAATAATAAACCCACTAAATAAACAGAGTGATATAGCCCTTCGATGAGTGCTAAGAGAGCAAATAATCAATGAGAGAGTTGAACAAAATAGTAAGTACAATGATCGTGTAGAAGTGGTCAGAATTATCAATATTCTACATATATGAAAATGGACAACAAATAAGATGAAAGCAAGAAATAGTAGTTATTCAACCTTAGACACAATTTTCTGCTGCTTATACCCTTCATCTGCATGCGTAACTCTGCAAATCGATATATGTTTATGGGTAGTTAAGTAGGAGGACTAAGCGTAAACAACGAAAAAGTGCAAACAAGAATGGGTATGGAAATAAATTTTCATACATAAACTAGCATTGGCTGATATGAAATCAAGAGCTAAAAATCATTATCAGACGAGTTCTGGTATTGGATAAGTAGATGCTGATAGGATACTTACTTAACCTTAACTTTTTTAATGTCATCCCTTGGGGCCAATTGTTCGATGAAACGAAATATATCATTCTGTAAGAAAGGAAAAAGAAGATATAAGAGTCCAAATATACAGCTTGCAAGTTAGGTTAGCTATAGAAAAGAAATTTCACAATTACCACTATTTCAATCGGTGAAACATTATGGTTGGCATCCAGTGCAACCTAATACCAATCAGTATGATGCTATGAGTGAAAAATGAAAAATGAAATATTGTAGTACACTAAAATTATCATTGACTAGAAAAAATTACTATCAACAGCCGAGCAGCACTTTGGCCTACAGCAAGGACCCATGGTCGGACATTTGATGCGAGGAGCCTCTGGAACATTTGCATCTAAATTCCAAACTTCAGTCATACAACAGTTGGACTGAAACAAACAAAAACTAAGTAACAAACTATGCCAATAGCAAGCGGAACTATGTAGAAGTTTTCTCTTTTACAAATTTGAAAACAAATAGTATTTAGTTACTATGACACACTTCCTCACGTGCAGACTACTCTTTAGTAATATTTTGCATGTGGAACTTATTCATAAATGGATGGGGGTGATATTCGAATGAACACTCTGTCTTAAAGTTTAAACTATTAGAGACTTGAATTATTTTAAGCACAAAAAAGATATCCTTAAATATTTCAACAACGGACAACAAAAAACGAAAGTTATTTCCTTGACCAGTTGACCTCATATTGAAAGCTAAGTATAAATGCCATTAAAAATACAAGGCAATAAATTACTTGAGATTAAGGAAATGCAGTTTTGAAAACAAGAAATGCAAGTTTAAGTTGGTTTATTTCGCATTACCAAACGCATATTAAGTATAAAGACTAAGTATGGACTCAATGTTTTCCAGGTCGACAAGAAAAAAAAAAGTGATGGAGGTTGGCTCTTTAACGAATAAACACATAAAACTATCATTCTTTTTAATGAGATCTTTCCAGATGAAGAGATGCTAATATTAATATTATGAAAAACTTTTTAAGCAATTTAAGTATATCTATCTTCAATTTTTTTATGGAACAACGATAGATTCTCAACTGTAAATAAAATGACTAGTGGAAAAAGAAGGAACTAACGCTGTGAATGAATAATACACGGTATTGATCGGAGAAAGGTCTTGCCAATGGATGAGCATCAAGCAGTAAACAACTATAGAAGAAACGTGATACTCCAGTTTCACCTAAAAAAAGATTTATACCGCGACCAGGTACAAGCACTCCAATGTTTCCTTGTACCCCTTGCTTCAGGTCTTTAAGTGAGTAACATGTATAAGTGCCATTAGAGTATTCTGCACGGACAGTATTTTCTCTTTCGAGTGCTTCAAATAGTTCTCGAACCTATAACATGTTCAAATAGTGAACTTATTTCTCCAGATTTGGTAGTAATGCAAATGTAATGAATGTTCGTGTGAGCTAGCAAACAATACTGTTTTCCCCTAAAAAAATCAAGTTCTTTCCTTTTTTCAAAGGGTACGTACATGGATGAAAAGAAAAGGCCATGTGTTTTCACCTGATTACCATGGGGTTCTACAGAATATTCATCAATGAATGATATCTGAGAAATAACAGTTAAAATATATTTCTCTGCGACAAACAAAAAAGCCCGCTGTTTGGTGGTTCCTGAAGATGGTTCTTGAGCAACAGCATGAAGACTGACTTTCCATCCAAATCGAAACTTTCGAAAAAGTAGACCTGAGAACATGAGATGCTGAATAAAAATCTAACTCCTCCTCCTATGTTTACATTCACCAAAATACTGAAAAAAATGAATAAATAATTGATCGCAATTAGAGGAACAATACCTACCTACTACATGAGATTCTGCCAAGGTGAGACAGATATATTTTCCTCCAGCTTTTAACAATCTTTTAGCCTGTTAATGAATCGACTATATTGGAACAATACCTAGTACAAAGCAAAAAATGCTGGTAACTATTGGATCAAAAGTGTATCACAAACCTCAGATAAATATATTGTTCCTAATCTGGGGTCAATGTCAGGTTCCATTAGAGCATCCAGTCCTCCCTTATCGATAATGGCTTCAAAAGCCCCATTTGAAAGCTGAAAATTAAAAAAATCAAACACAGTAAGCCAACCATGTTGTGCCATCAGGTTATATAGGAAAGTCTGATGAAATAAATAATTCAAAAAATAGTGTAACTGCCTTTTTCCCATGTTAATTAATACTCTAACCATAAAAATACTCTCTCAGACAAAAGGGAGAACACATTGCAGGCAGGGTGTTTGTTGATTCCTTTACAAAAAATTGGGAAAGAAGAAGAAGACGACGATGTTTTGGAGATTGAAGTGGACTTGGGGATTGACTATTGAAGCTGGGCCGAATTTTATGGGCTGGGAAGTTTCATGAATCAAAATAAAATTAAATTCTCGCAATTAATTTTACAATCCTAATTCTCAATTTACACAAAAATCCTGGAAAATTAATTCTACAATCCTAATTCTCAAAATACACAAAACTCCTGGAAAATTGTACCTGCATATCAGTCATGTCCATCACGCGCCACCTCATCTCCGGCCGATCTCTCAAATTCCTCCTCATCATGGCGGAAATGACCTCCCTCGAGAAATCCACATTAATTATATTCCTGAAACCATCGTCGTACAGATGCTCCGACAGCCTGGAATTCCCGCACGCCGGCACCAAAATAGTCAGCTCCTCCGGCGGCGGCGCCGACGGCGGAAACGAGAGATGGTTCCTGAGTAAGGTCCGGAGTTGGGGCCAATCGGCGTACCACTCGGAGAAATCACCGGCGCCTCTTGCGGCGAAGAAATGGTCCCAGCTCTCCTTGCTGGTGAAGTCTCCGAAGAGCACCGGCAGCTCCTTTTCAGTGCGGACGCACTGCTCTCCTTGTTGCTCGCCGTTTTCCGCCATTTTCACGCGATCTGCGTGTTCTCGAAGTGAAATTGTGCGGTTATTTTTTTGGAAATTCAATTCAACTATCCCGCCCAAACGAACCTAACAAATTGCGATCCTTTTCCCATTGCAGCAGAGTCTTTCTGTTATATATAGAGATTTGGGAAAATTGTATTTATGGTCCTTTAAGTTGGCCTATTTAATACTTTAGTCCTTTAACTTGTCATGTTTCAGTTTACATGCAACAACTTTGCAAATATAGTATTTTTAGTCTTATTTTGCATGGTTTTTTATTTATGACGCTACAAATAAACTTGACGCGTTTTATTTATATTGACGCTTGGAAATTGATAAATTCGACATCTAATTTATCATTGGTAGAACTTTAATTATGTCGGACGACATATCTATAAACCAAATAAGAGGAGCATTTACCCGCAAGGGTGGCCTAGTGGTTGGAGCAAGAGAGCTTGGGTCAATTGACCCAAGTTCGAATCCCCTTGCCAACGGTCGCTAGGTCGAGCTTGTCACACATGGTTAGCCTAGTGTGGTTTACATCTCTCGTATGGTTTGCAAGCTATTATACGAGAGTGTAGGTTTACCCAGTGCACCTATATGGTTGGCTGCGGGTTCCTGCATTATCAAAAAAAAAAAAAAAAAAAATAAAAAAAAAATAAGAGGAGCATTTATAATTTTTAAGTTTCCATATAAATAAAGGGGTTCACTGCAAAAAATCCTCTAAACTTTGGACGTTTTTGCACTTTACCCTCTGAACGGAAAAAAGTTGCACGAGATCTATAAACCAAATAAGAGGAGCATTTATAATTTTTAAGTGTCCATATAAATAAAAGGATTAACTGCAAAAAATCCCCTAAACTTTGGACGTTTTGCACTTTACCCCCTGAACGGGAATAAGTTGTACGAGCATACCTGGACTCTAGTATTTGTAGCACTGACATCAAAATTGTCCAATTTTAGCTAAATTGTTCCTTGAATTGCACACGTGCAACTCACACGTAAAAATGGAGGGGCAATTTTGTCAACTCACAAGATTTTTAGGAAAAAGAAAATTAAAAAGGAAAAATGAAGAAGAAAAAAGAAATAAAAAAAAAAAAAGGAAAAAAGAACACAGAAAAGACCTACATGCGTCTTCTTCCTCTCTCCCCACATCTGCTCCGTTGCCGCACCGCCACCACCACCACCACCACCACCATGTAACGATATTAACAGAATAATCGAAAACGGCGTTGTATAAAGGAGAAGCGTGAGTCACTTAAAGAAACGCGTAAAGGAAAACACGAGAAAAAGGAGTTATATCTCAGCTGGATTCAACCAACCCGAAGACGACACGTGGCGGAGCAGTTGGAGCTAATTATAGTTGAGGAGTGTTAGTTTTTCTATAAATAGTAGTTTAGGCATTGTTAATAATGGTCTAAGAAGGGGAGAGAAATATCTCCTCTGTAATCCAATTCTTCGACACTTGAATAATATCTGATTTGGGAAAAGGGGATTGAGTTCTTAACAAGTGGCCATCAGAGCACGATCATGGCACCACAAGCAAATCCAAACCTTAAGGAATGGCGAAGAACAATACACGAGTAGAAGCAATGGAACAGCAGCTGGGGGCGATGGAAGATCAGTTGAAATCAATGGAGCAGCATGTAGCGAGTTTATTTGGAGGGCAACAATCACTACGTACGGAATTAACGACAGAATTTGAAGAGAAGATTGCAGAAGCCACTCGGAAATCGGAGTCGCGGTTTGATGAAATGGCCAAACGGTTTGATGAATTAGGGCGTCTCATGGCGGGAATGCGTGGTAAGGATTCAGCCGTCAATGGAGGTTCACCATCTAACACCAACGTCGCGGCGGCGCGTGGGCGTCCAGAAGCCAATATACCCTATACCATTCCCATGCACCGGCAGGGAGGGAAATCGTACAATTTTGGAGGCAATTCCACTTCGGTTCAAAAAGTTCCTAAATTGGATTTTCCTCGATTCAATGGGGATAATCCTCGTGGATGGATCCGAAAATGTCAGAAGTATTTTTCGATTAACCGAATGGTGGACCAAGAGCGTATTGTTTGGGCATCAATGCACATGGAAGGTAAGGCAGATCATTGGTTTGCCGATTATTTGGAAGGTAGAGATTCTGTAGATTGGCACACGTTTGTGGAAATGGTATTAGAGAGGTTTTGTGAGGAAGAGGAGGAGAGCTTGGTAGAGACTTTCAACAAGCTGAAACAAGAGCATTCAGTAAATGCTTATAGGGATAAATTTGAGGAGCTCAAGGTATTTATGTTACACATGAATAGAACTCTATTTGAGACATATTTCATCAATAGTTTCATTAGTGGTTTAAAGGATGAAATCAAGAGTATGGTAAGACTGCTCAAACCTCAGACATTGAAGGAAGCTATGAGCAAGGCAAAGTTGCGGGAAAAAGCCATAGACTAATTGAATAAGAGCTTAAGGCAGATGCAAATAAATACTGGGATGACACACCCCACTCGAACTAATAAGAGTGTGTATAGTGATTTCTCAGTTAAACACAACCCTACGGTGGAAGAAGAATCTACACAAGTGAAGAGACTATCTACTGCAGAATGAGAAGAGAGAAAGAAAAAGGGCCTTTGCTTCAACTGTGATGAGAAATTCACTTACGGTCACAAGTGCAAAAGAGTTTTTATAATACTAGGAAGGTGGACGTGTGTTGCACATCTTCTGTCAATTTAATCGGGTTTTTGGAGTATATTAATATTATTATCTAGTTAAACTTTAATTTGTCTAATATTACAATATGTTTAGATTCATAATTTCTACTTATATTTATATTCAAATTCCATTAATAGTTTTTTTATTTTCTTTCATCTTGATTTTTATTCCACATCGATCATCATTGGAAAATGTTATTTACCTGTTTCTTCTTATATGTATTAGTTTTTTCTTGCAACTTCTTCTTGGAACACTATCATATTTTCTTGGATAGATAGATTACTATTGTCATTATTTTTCTTTTTGAAAATAGAATTCATTGACCGTTGAAAACTAAGGTATTTGTAGTTTAACTTTGTTTAATATTATAATATAACATGTTTAGATTCATATAATTTCTATTTATATATGTATTCATGATTCATTAATTATTTTTTAATTTTTGTATCTTAATTTTTGTTTTCAAATCTTGAAGCGAACTCCAAAAATTACATCACAATAATTTTGCAACAACACCTATAAACTCCTTTAAAATTGCGGAATGGCGAAATGATGAAGAAAATCCCAATTGAGGGGTTAAGAAGTTATGAATATATCTCCTTATTTTAATAATAACCTTACAATTTGGGGACTGAGTTGAATTGTTTTTAAAGATATTGAACAAAGTTGGTTGTTCAACCGCTCCACCGAAATAATGTGGAGTTGGAATAGAAACATTATCAAATACACTGATTTTCCTGATTTATAGGTCAAGAAGAATTCTCCTTTCACATAATAAGCAAGAAAAATTGTCAAAAGTTTACAAGAACATGGATTTCATTGATCAATTTCCCTGAACCTATTTTTCCTTTTCATTATTTTTTCTTGCTAAATTTCGAGCGAGTGAAATAACATTTTTTTTTGTGGTTCATTAATATCATTTTAGTAATGCTTTTCACTGACGTGATTAATTTTTATACAAACTTTCTTCAATTTTTTTTGTAACATAATGTAACACAAGAAAACATCTATTACCACCACATGTGACCATATTCATAACCCACAAAGACAAAATTGAAATTGTACCTCAAGAAAATGAGTAAATTAACAATATTTACAGTGAGGTATATGTTAACCGTAAACCTTAAACATGTCAGCCAAAATAATTGAAATTTTGTGAAGATTTTACAACTTCATTTCATTTTTTCTCTTTCCGAAATGACTTAATTATTCCTCTTGGCACTCAAAATATAGCATTTGGCACTTTGCACCCCCGAAAAAAATAATAGCACTTTGCACTCTCAAAAGATAAGTAATCATTAACATTGCACCCCAATTGTTTTAGCAAAATTATCTAGGTAAATTATATGTTTGGTTGATCTTTAGTAAAAAAGAATATGTAATTTGCGGAAACGTTCAAGTAATTTAGTGGTAAATGGTTGAATGGTGGGGAGAATTAAACAATTTAACTTGACACTTTCTACCTCAAAAATATATACTATTTCACAGATCAAAATACCATTGGTGACTACACCCATACAAAAATATTTATTTATAGTGTACAAAGTATTAAAGTTATTACTTTTCCATCCTTCGACTATTTTTTCACCAAATTACATAAAAACTATCGGTTCATAAAAAAAGAAAATCATTAATTTTTTTACCAATTCCGAAAAAGTGGTACATATCCAATAAATTTGTAATTTATTTATCAAAATTCTATTTTTGAATTATATTTATACATAAATGAAAATTTTCATTTATAAATGCTACTAAAACATGAAATTATCTTCATTAACTTCAAAACTTTATGTTGGGGTGAACGTGATATTATTTTTCTGTGGCGCAAAGTGGCAAAATGCTACATCTCGAGGGTGCAAACTGGAACTAAACCTTCCAAAATTAATCAAAAAAACCTCAATTATTGAAGAAACAATATTACAAAAACTTATCGATTAAAATTGTAAGTATTGAAATCTCGAGAACATGCCTCCGAATTTACAATTTAAGTCCAGCCTCAGGCCCTCAGGTGTTATTATATTTATTGTTGTCAACAAATATTTACGTGATCTAGAAATTTTGAAGTCAAATCAGTCGCCCAAGAAATGAATATATAACAAATAGAAGCCAACATAAAAGGTGAATTAACAAATAATTAATAAATATGTTTTACATGTATTCTTTATAATAATTAGGGAAAATTATGTAAAACCCCCTGAGGTGAAGCCTAATTAAAAAAAATCCCCTCGTGTTTGTATAGTTACAAAAATCCCCTTCTGACCAGCGTTTGACCTTTTGAATTCACAGAAAATGTATCTTGTCCGTTTTACCTTTCTGTTATTTGAAAAACAATAAATGATAAATTACGAGAAACCATCTGAAGGTAATATCTGATTAATAAATCCCCCCCTCCCCCCCACACATTTGCTTGATTACGAAAAAACCCCCAATGTATGTTGCCTTCTTACACAGGCCCCCTATAGTGTCACTTTTGACGAATCAAATAATATATATTTTTTTATATTCAATATATAGTTTTTGCATTTTATTTTTTTAAAATTGAAATATTATTAGAAATTTATTAAAAAATAATGAAAATATTTTTAACCTAAAATAAGAAATACGGAAATATCTTTCCAAAATATGTGAAATCGATTTTATTGAACAAATAATTATAAAATTATAAACAAAACAAATGGAAAACAAATAAAAAAATTTAATGTTACAAGATATGTTTAATTCTTTTACATATATTTTCTATTTTTAATAATTATAAACTCAAGAAATACATTATAGTTTTAAAATTAAAAGTAACTACGTTTTTTTTAAATATATTACATTTTGCCCCATAAGTAATTAATATGCTTGCAATTACCCAATAACGGTCAAAATGACCTTTTCAGATGAATATTCCATGGAATAAAAAAGATTCCGTTAATATTAACACCGTAGGAGACTGTGTACGACGACAACATACCTGAGGGGGGTTTTTGTAATCACGCAAATATGAGGGGGATTTTTGTAATTAGACCTTACTTCAGGGGTTTTTTTTCGTAATTTGTCTAATAATTATTAAATTCATTCCCGTCACCGTGCATATCGGCATTGCTGGCCATTATTGAAACCGCAAAATGCGAAGAGCTATCTCTTGAAAAATCGATGTAAGATGTTATGTAGCCACCGGTGGTTCCTAATCCTGTCTGACTCTCCACATTTTTTATGGTCTCAGGTGGTGTTGTCGTTGTGGGTCGTGGTGGATCATGGTGTAACCTTATTTTTTGTATGTCTAGAGCATGAAAATAGATAACAAAAACTTATATTATTTTGTTTTTTATGCCGTTTTATTTAAACAAAAATTGTTTGGGGTATTATGAATGTACATTAAAGACTTGAGACTATACAAATTCCCAGCTCAATAAAGTTGCTATTAATTAAATATTAATACATACATTAGGAATTAGTTGAACAATCATTAGGAATCAGATAGTTTTTCCTTATCAACAATTGAGCATTCCCGAATTATGAAAAATTTATTCAATGAAAATTACAATTTTTTTTATAAATAAATTAAAATAATTATTTATTTATTTATATTACTCGTACTTCTAATCTTACATATTATAGTAATTACTGATTGGCATAGATAAAATTATGAATTTTATAAACTATTATTTTATTAGTAAACATAGATAATCAAAATTCGGAGAGCGATAAAAATTCTTCAACTGAAAAAATTTGATACTAACTAATTAAATGAAGAATTTTTTAATTATATTTTAGATAACGATATATGTTAAGATAATTAAAACTAATTTTAAAATGTGATGTTGGTATTTTTTATCTTCGTTAATTCTATTGTACGTGCATCTAGATTTTTTTTCACATATTAACCATATTAGTTTAAACTTGTCCATTCTATATTTGGCAATAATTAATAATATAATTATTTAATGTCATGAGTTAATATTAATTTATAATAATTAACAATTAGTTTATATTACTCAATTGTCTTTTAAAGTTTGAACTTGCCAAGGGTATTTTTGTCTCTTCAAAAAATGGAAGAAACCACCATAGGATTCCTCCTTTTATAAGTAGTATAGATATAGATTAGGAGAGAAAGTACAAGAGGAATCCAGTGGAGATGATTTTATAGGGGAGGAGAGGGAAGAAGAACTAGAGCTATAAAGGATTTCAGTGTATGCTCTAGCTGGTCAAGTCTCTCCTAGTACAATCAAACTGGTAGGAATGGTGAATAAACAACCTATTTCAATTCTTGTAGATACTGGAAGCACCATACCTTCTTGGATCCCAGTACTGCCAAGAGGTTGAAATGTATACTAGAACCTACATCTAACTTGAGGGTTTCTGTGGCAGATGGAAGGAAGATTCTTAGTAAGTACAAGTGTTCACAGTTCAAATGGACTGTGGGCCAACATCACTTTCAAGCTAGGGTTAGATTATTGGAACTTGGAGGGTGTGATTTAGTTATTGATGTGGATCTTCTGAGGCATTTAGAGTCTATTACCTTTCATTTTCCCAAGCTCCCGTATCCTCATCTTTGGAATATACCGTTTCTCTGTGTCTGTTTCCCATTTCCCTATATCACAGTTTTTATGTCCGTGCTGCATAGGTTGACCCATATTTTTCTTTAACATAAATCATGTAAAGCATATTATACAATCTTTAGTTAAATATGTGAGACCAAAGTACCCGAGTGAGTAGATGTCTCTCTATTCTGCAGAATAATCAAAGGACTAGTGGGTTCACGTCGCTCCAAGCTCTCGGAATAGGCACCTTGACCATGTCGATTCACCAAATTCGCTTAAAACAAGTTTATACGTAAACTGTCGCGATTATTATAACTCGGCCAATGCTGCATTTTAGCGATGCGAAAACGGCATTCGAAGCTAACAAGATTTCATTGGCTAGAAGAAAGATTGCAGAGGTAGTGTCAGTTTCTACTTCTTGTAGAACACTTGAATCGCCTCTGCACCTGCACTTAAAACTGCAATTGATTTGTCGGAAGATGTATTTGACATTGCTTACGTCGTTGTCACATAGGCTCAACGGCCGCTTGAAGATCTCAACTAACACATAAATAAACGAAACATAAAATCCAATGTGAATTAGTTGCTCATTCGTTTTAGTGAAATCATATGAATAAGTACTTAATATTTATATTTGAAAGGGTTGTGCAAAATAAATAATATTTATCACTGTAAAAGTTCAATACATTTTTCTTAGAGACCCTTTCAGTTATTAATACATTATCTTAATACCCCTTACCATATACATATATTACATACATGCCCTCCAAGTTTATATAACATGAGCAAATTATTGCTCACATAGGCCCATCAGCCATAGGCCATACATATAATACACACACACACACACACTCACACACACACACTAAGATGAGTGAGTATATTCACACAGTAGAACAGATTAAAAAAGGTATAATATGTGCAAATTCATTATATCAAAATCACTAAACTGTACAGTACATACAACTTGTAATCAACAAGTAAGTGTGTGCTAAAAATATATCTCTTCATCATGATTTTCTTAATTGCTTGATCTTTTTCGAGTCCACTAAGGCTTGTTTGACCCAATCCCCACTGTTATGCTCTAATGATCTTTGAAGTGCCTCACAAGCTTGAGCGAGTTCTTCCTCTCCAATGAATGGAGAGTCCTTCTTCAGGGCGAAAATTAATTCATTGAAACCTTTATCTGCGTGCAAGCAAAAGAGGTTGCTAAATACCTGCGAAACAGAACAAAAAGAAATTAGGAAAAAGAAATTTTCGAACCATATAGTGTATAATATATTTTCATGCTATCAGTTGTTTCTCACCTTTTCGAAATTTGAATACACTGCAGCCCTCACACCAGGATAGCATGTGATAAACTTAACGATCAATAATCCTTTATCAGAAAGTGAGTCTTTTGCTGCCAATAGAAAAGGTTCCTCAACGAATTCTGCCTCTGGACAAATTAAACCAGAACTGCACAATAAAAATAGTACTTTGTCAAATAAAAAAAGATGACAAGAATTGATTTGAGTGGAAGCTGTTTTTTTCTTTTTTTTTTTTTTTACCTTGAGTCTGATGAGTCCACTTCGATTATAAGTACGTCAATTTTGGAAGAGTTGTTCCCTTCTTCATGAATTACAGTGCAACCATACAGTTATTTAATTTTGAGCGTGTTATCTTGCGATTTTATATCACTAGTTACTACAACTAGTTGTAGCGATTTTACCTGCTCTCTCTTTGACAAACTTCATTGCATCAGTAATATGTACCTGGACCGGAAACGAAAACTAGTTACAGTGAGAGCATGAGCATTACGACTCTGTGAAAGCAACAATAATATCACGTCGTTAGCTAATCCTTTCTCTTGTTACAAGGAACAAAACAATAACGATAACATGACTCTGTGAAAGCAACTTTTTCGCATTATAATTCCAATTATCAGCACATAAATGCAAAATTATACCAAAGATTTTATGTTCTGAATTCCAGAAAAAACCCTTTTGCACACTCCAAAATCCTATTTTGTTGTTGAAAACGACAGAAACTAGAATATTACCTTTAAGCCATCAGCTTCTTCAAAACTAAAATACTCTTTAGCAACATTCAGAACCACAGGATCTGACTCAACGACCTAACAAATTAAGAACTAGCATAAAGACAAGACAGTAGGGAAAAAAATGGTAATTACAGCCATCCAAAATTTCGATACCTCAATCTTTAGAGTAGGTATGTAATTTCTCATACACATAGGAAGTAGTCCTGCTCCAAGACCGATGATTACTGTTTTGACCTGAAAGGGAGGGAAGCTTTCAAATCTAGGCATCATTTCGAAAACCGAACCCACGACCCAAATTTATAAAGGTAGTAAATTATTATAATTTATTCCACAAGTGAATTACATATGTTTGCCTCTGTTTTGGAGAATCATTTAAGAAAAATGAGATGAGGTAGTAATTTAATTTGTATATCTGCTTTCAAGAGACAGAAGAGAAAAAAGATAGCTCACCAATCTACCAGCTGAGGTAGTTCTTTTTGAATGTATAGAAAACAACAGTAATCCAGAAATCATCCCATTGGTTAATCCACTTCTCACATATCTGTGATCGACTTTCATATCACCACTCGATGCTTCTTCATTCAAGACGAAAAAAACGAGGCAATAGTTAATGAACATGAATAAATATTGCTACTTCTATTTCTCAGCAGTAGATGACAGTAACTTAATTTAGAAACAATTGAAATGTTTTTTTTTTCCTCAGGTTTTAGTAAAACCATATCAGGAAATATTGAAATCCAAGTCCAGTATATAATTTCTCAAAACTAACCTAAAAAGAGAGAGATATTCACCTTGAGAATCAGATGGCTGCGATTCAACCATCCTCAGTTTTCCTTTCTTCGCCTGCACTTTCTTATTCTGAACTTGTGTGGCTAAAAGAGCTTCAGATTGCGCAAAAACTTCAGTTCTTCCAAAACGAATGCGACGGAATATGATATCCTTAGATGTATCAACTGTATTAGGAATACCACCCGGTGGATTGAAATAGATCACGTCTTCTATAGCAATCGGACCAGTCAAGGTAGATGTAACCTGGATAAACCAATATAAGGAAAATCTAAGAGGAAAAAAAGAGATGGCAATACATGAAGTAAGAGAAGTATATATGAAATATCCAATGATAAAGAAATGGGACTCTTACTACTAAACAGTTTAACATAAAACCTCTAATTTGAAAAGTGACGACATTTTCTCCTATAAGTAACCACCACTAAATAATCACACAGTGATACAGTCCTTCGATGAGTGCTAAGAGAGCAAATAATCAATGAGAGAGTTGAACAAAATAGTATGTACAATGATCGTGTAGAAGTGGTCAGAATTATCAATATGAAAAGGACAACCAATAAGATGAAAGCAAGAAATAGTAGTTATTCAACCTTATACAAACTTTTCTTCTGCTTATACCGTACATCTGCATGCGTAACTCTGCAAATGGATATATGTTTATGGGTAATTAAGTAGGAGGACTAAGCGTAAACAACGAAAAAGTGCAAACAAGAATGGGTTTGGAAATAAATTTTCGTACATAAACTAGCATTGGCTGATATGGAATCAAGAGCTAAAATCATTATCAGATGAGTTTTGGTATTGGATAAGTAGATGCTGATAGGATACTTACTCAACGTTAGCATTTTCAATGTCATCCCCTGGGGCTAATTGTTTGATTAAACGAAATATATCATTCTGAAAGAAAGGAAAAAAATAAAATAAAAATATAAGTGTCCATCAAATAAACAGCTCGGCAGTTAGAGCTGTAGGAAAAAATAGAAAATCAAGATTACCTCTATTTCATTCACTAAAACATTATGGTTGGCATCCAGTGCAACCTAATACCAATCAGTATGATGCTATGAGTGAAAAACGAAAAATGAAATATCGTAGTACACTAAATTATCATTGAGTAGAAAAAATTACTATCAACAGCCGAGCAGTATTTTGGCCTCGAACAAGGGCCCATGGTCGGGTAGTTGATACGAGGAGATTCTGGAACAGTTGCATCTAAAATTCCAAACTTCAGTCGTACAACAGTTGGAATGAAACAAACAAAAATTAACAAACTATGCCAATAGCAAGCGGAACTCTATGGTGAATGATCATCTCATATAGAAGTTTTCTCTTTTACAAATTTGCAAAAAAAATTAACAAAATATGCCAATAGCAAGTGGAACTCTATGGTGAATGATCATCTCATATAGAAGTTTTCTCTTTTACAAATTTGCAAAAAAAATTAACAAAATATGCCAATAGCAAGTGGAACTCTATGGTGCAGACTACTCTTTATAAACATTTTTCAGGTGGAACTTATTCATAAATGGACGGGGGTGATATTTAGAATGAACACCTCGTCTAAAAGCTTAAACTATTAGAGACTTGAATTATTTTATGTTTAATGACTTGTACATTTATGGCACAAAAAAATATCCTTCAATTTCAATAACGGACAACAAAACAACGAAAGTTATTTCATTGACACCATATTGAAAGCTAAGTATAAAAGCTATTAAAAATACAAGGCAATAAATTACTTAAAATTAAGGAAAGGCAGTTTTAAAAACAAGAAATGCAAGTTTAAATTGGTTTATTTCGCATTACCAAAAGCATATTAGGTATAAAGACTAAGTACAGACTAAGTGTTTTCCAGGTAGACAAGAAAAAAAGAGTGATAGAGGTTGGCTCTTTAACTAATAAACACATAAAACTATCATTTTTTAATGAGATCCATCCAGATGAAGAGAATGCTAATATTAATATTATGCAAACTTTTTAAGCAATCTAAGTATTCTCAACTGTAAATAAAATGACCAGTGGAAAAAGAAGGAACTAACGCTGTAAAGGAATATCACATGATATTGATCGGAGAAAGGTATTGGCAATGGATGAGCATCAAGCAGTAAACAACTATAGAAGAAACGTGATACTCCAGTTTCACCTAGAAAAAGCTTTACAGCGCGACCAGGTTCTAGCACTCCAATGTTTCCTTGTACCCCTTGGTTCAGGTCATTAAGCGAGTGCCATGTATCAGTGCCATTAGAGTATTCTGCTCGGACAGTATTCTCTCTTTCAAGTGCTTCAAATAGTTCTTCAACCTATGACATGTTCAAATAGTAATGCAAATGTAATGAACTTGGTTCGTGTGAGCTAGCAAACAATACAGTTAGCCCCTAAAAAATTCAAGTTCTTTCCTTTTTTCAAACAATACGTACATGGATGAAAATAAAAGGCTAAGTGTTTTCACCTGATTACCATGGGATTCTACAGAACATTCATCCATGAATGATATCTGAGAAACGACAGTTAAAATATATTTCTCTGCGACGAACATAAAAGCCCGCTGTTTGATGGTTCCTGAAGATGGTTCTTGAGCAACGGCATAAAGATTGACTTTCCATCCAAATCGAAACTTTCGAAAAAGTAGACCTGAGAACATGAGATGCTGAAAAAATGAACAAATAATTATTTTGACCAATTAGAGGAACAATACCTACCTAGTACATGAGATTGTACCGCGGTGAGACAAATATATTTTCCTCCAGCTTTTAACAATCTTTTAGCCTGTTAATGAGTCGAACTATATTGGAACAATACCTAGTACAAAGCAAAAAATGCTGGTAACTATTGGATCAAAAGTGTATCACAAACCTCAGATAAGTATATTGTCCCTAATCTGGGGTCAATGTTAGGTTCCATTAGAGCATCCAGTCCTCCCTTATCGATGATGGCATCAACAGTCCCACTTGCAAACTAATCAATAAAAATCATTAGAAAAAACGGAAAGAGATAGAGAACACAGTTCCAAAGAAATCATAAGAAAATGGAAAGAGAATTATATAGCAAAGTCCGATGAAATAAATAGAATTAAGAAATGAAAGTAGGGCAAATACAGTAAGCCAACGCACATTAATAAAGTCCTTCAACTCAACTACCATAAAAATGCTCTCTCAGGCAAAAGGGCGAACACATTGCAGGGTATTGACTACAGAATCAGTTGGGCCAAATTTTATGGGCTGGAAGAATGAAAGGATTATGCGAAATTATCAGAATTCGGTCTCTCTGTCTACAATTCTCTCTCTCTACAATTCTCTCTCTCTCTCTCTCTCTCTCTCTCTCTCTCTCTCTCTCTCGGTCTGTCTAGCTCTCTCTCTCG